GGAGGTCTTACTAATTCGAGTCCGAAATGAACGAATATTCAATCAGAATTCAATTCTGATGCCTACTCGGCAAGATACAAGAGCTCAAGGATTATGACGTCATTACTGGCTCGCCTCCAAAATATGGTCCGACTCAGCTCTGACGATTGAGCGAGACGATCTCGGCAAATGTTGAAAACTGATCAAGAAAAGTTTTTCCGACTTTTTTTTTCATAGAATAGAATGATGATTAGGATTTGTCTGTGAAAAACAGTAAGAAGAAGGGTTAAGTTTTATTTCAGACAGACGCTCTCAAACTATGCTACAGAGAGTGAATTTGATGATTTGGCGACACACACGGTTATCAACAAAGTTTACAATTTCTCGCTAAATTTCAACTAGTAGATAGAAATTCTATAAGGTGAGAATTCTCTGCTTACCTGGGCGATTATTAGAGCGAAGAACAACCGAATCATTATAACTAGTACGTAGCGACTTACGTCCAGCACTAGTCATAGTGCACCTATCTCACTTTATATATATTCAGATGTTCTGAAACACAAATCCAAACCTTTCATGCAGCGAAACTCAATTGTATTGTCTTGTTAAGATGACACAAAGGAAATCTCGCGTTTCAGTTCTGTTAAAACAAATGGGAACTCGAAAATTAGACATATTGATGATTGATAACAAAGATTAACTGTGTTCCTACCAGGTCATGCCGATTCATGTTGTTTATACAATGCATAGAAGATTTCTGGATTTCTAGACTGTAGTGAAACCACTCATTGCTATTGATTTTACACAAACGACATTAGGGGAACTAAAGAATCGGTAGTGTAGCACCTTTTATTAAATACACGTATTAATACTGTTCATCATATGAATCCTACGAGGGATATATATATATAGAAGAATATATATATACAAATAGTTATATATATATATGTTTTTTAGGTATTTTTTTTCAATCATAAACAGTTCGCTCAGATAACACTCAACCTTCGTTCTTGCACCGAATATTCATCGTCCCGATAATGTGCGGCTGGACTAAAACATGCAAACTGTACGTACGTAAGCTGTGCATTCATTACTTACCTGTTTTGATCAGGAGTTAGTGAAAATGGACGATGCTTCGTTCTGTTCAAGGTACTCGCTATGACTAGACTATCTTGATGAAGTTGACGCTTCTTACGATACCTAAGAAAACAGACTCTGTTTCAAAATTTGGATCAGTTCAATACCCAGATCGGTAGTGGCACATGAGTAAACCGAAGATCGCCAAAATGCAACACAGTAAAAGAATGAAAGTTACAGAAAAGTATAAGATCGGTGAAGTTGTCGAGCGCGCCACAGCGTTACCAGCCTATGAGACTTGTTCGACTTTTTGAGCTCCCTCAAGACTAACCTGGTAGGCTTTTCGAATAGAGATCGAATTTTCCGCATTTTTCTTCATAATCGCTAGGACTTTCTCTGCAGGTACTACTTCTGCAGACACTTTGTTGACAATTATCTGTAATAAGTATTTATGAATAAGTCAGATAATAGGTATACCATTTGAACATCTGTTGAGTCGTGAATAATATTACCCTCGAGTTGCTCATACTTGATATCACGGAGAAGAACTTTCAATCCGGTGAGATTGGCCACTGATCTTAAAAGCGAAAAAATTATCAGACGTTCAAATAATCGAGACTTTGCTCACTGTAAGAGGTTTTCTACATCTGATGATTTGACTTCGAACGGACTTTTTTCAAGTGGGCTACTAACTACATCACTTTGATCATGTATGTATACTTTAACAACAGCTGTGTCTTTTCTTGCAACTCTTGCTTCCAAACTATCAGTGGCTTCTAAGAGAATGTTGAAAACACCTCCGACAAACTCACTAAAAACACAAAGTAAGATAGAGGTAAATTGAAGAATGCAACCGCTCGGTGGTCACTTACTTCACTGTTTCTTCTAGTCTTACATCGCCAGTTTGTTGGTTGACATGGAAAATACCATCTACAGCTCTGGCCAACCCTTTATACTCGAATGTTGTTTCTTTTATAAAATAGAAGACAGAACTGGGAGCTAAAATCATATGGTTTGCTTTATAAGGAGTAGCTAACATACTTTCTTCTGTCAAGTCAGGATCCTCAGCATGAACTGTGATTAAATCTTGGCCTGGTAATTCTAGCTTGTTAAGTACAATTTCATACTTTCCTCTCTCGAACAGCGGCCCGTTGTCATTTCTATAATAAACAAGAGAACAATCAATAAGATAGGAAATGAACCAACACATCTTTAACAATCACAGTAACTTGGCACCATTCTGTGATATCTTCCGCAAGTGTTTGAGGACTATTAGAAGCTCCAACGAGAATTCTAAAGAAAGTATCTCAGTAAACCAAACAAAATTCAGAAATTACACGAAACGATCTTCATCCTCTCTATCCAGTTCATGTCCCAGGATTACAACTCCAGTCGTTTCGTTTATGGAGAAGTGTTCGTTTTTGAACTTTATCTGGTAAAAAACTTCTTGTGAAGAATCTGATTCTATTGCTTTGACGGTGGTTACAACAGACCCCACTGATGCAGATTCAGGGACCTGAACAAATGAGCATTAGTCCCTTCATTATTTTACTTGAATACTTCAACAGTCATGGAGGAGAATTCAAATTTCAACGGATGATCATCCAGATCATTAATTATAATACTACTGGCCAGCTTGGATACCAATTTACCTCCGGCGTGTAGGGCAAGTACAATCTTGAAAAAGTTTAGCAATTTTCAAGTGGGTTACAACTTACTGGATAGCTCTTCCTCTTCTCGAAATCTAGCATCCGTAAAGTCCTTATGTCTCCAGTCATTGGATCGATAGTTGCGAAATCAGTAGCTTGTGTCAAAGCATTTTGAGCTGAGTCCCAGAAATGATAGCTCACATTGCATTTCGCATTAAGTTCATGTGTCTTCACAGTACCAACCAACGATTCGACCTCCATATTCTAAGTAAAAATCAGAATGTTTGAACGTGGTTTGTTAACGGACCTCATCTATCCAGAACAACACGTTGGAATCGCTTGAGAATTCAGGAACGCAGCTAAAAGAAGGCTTGCAGTTAATTTTAACTTCAGTTGATGTCTCGTTTTCATTGCTCATCGCTGTGATTGTCATGGGATTCTCTAAGTAAGACTCTGAAAGATGCTCGTATGGTAGTTCAAACAGAGTTAATATACTATTTAGCGTGTCCCGAACAGTGATTCGTCCTTCAACATCGATATCAAACAACTTTTCAGCTTCATTCTGTTTGTCGATCATGTAATTAACAGTTTCTTTAGAGGAATGAGCCTGTCAAGTATAAAGTATGAAATACGAGAATGGGGATATTACTGAGATAGCAGCGACGAAACTATTCAGTGGAATGTCATCCATTATATCGACATCATAGAGCTCTTTTTCGAATTTCAGTGTCTTTTCACTGTTTTGTACTACATTAATAGTGACCTGTATAAGAATTGAAATGCTTCGCTTCTGCAAACTTGGCTTACATTTGCTACAGATTTACTCGTCTCTGACTTAGCTTCCACTTTGAAACTGTGATACATCTCCTCTCGAGGTAATGAATGAGAAACGATGATATTACCCTAGAAAAGTAATTTTCCCTTTTTTCATCTTAAGGCATTTGTTGAAACTTACTGCTTCATCTATATTGAAGAAAGTTGTACCAGATATATTATAACTCACTCCGGTTACATTTCTATCCAAACCAATGGTCAAAACTTTGGTATCTACAACTCATAAAGCTTAGCAATGCAATTAACGCAAAATTAAATTACCTATAGGTGTGTTGAGATCCACAGTAATATTGTAAGATTTTGGTTTCAATTGGAAAGGAACCGAAACCTCGGACGCGACTTCAACAGCTAATAGTGCTTCTGCTTTGTCTTCTTCTTCTGTAGCCATAATATTCACTAATACTTTAGACCCTGGCGTTAATCTAGCTTTAGTTATGATGATGCCTAGAAAGAAAACCGTATGTTGAGCTGAAGCAATTTGTCAAACCTGTTAAACTGTCAATATCAAACTCAATAGGATTTTTAGGCAAGCTGTATCTTATAACGGAAGTATTGGAATGAGAAGTGTAGGTTTGATAAACAAATGATCCGATGGGAGTTTCCGATCCCAGAACTATGGCGCCTGGTGTCTGGAAGATATTATAGCTTTAAAGATATCTTAATAATTGTACCGGTAGTATCCGGAAATCAACCGGCTCTTTCGGACGTGGTGTGTCTCTGATGACAATGACTTCGATCTTGGCTGAAATATTTGGTTTGAATACTCTGATTCCACACTACCTTTTGCGCTTGGCTCTTTCACATGGGCTGCGTCATTAACAAAAATATGAACAATAACACGTGAAATATCCATGTTTATGATAGAGTTCTGGAAATGAAAGTTAGCATAAAGACATCACAGTAACTTACTTTGAGAACTAAGAAAACTGATTTCCCATCTGGATCGATTGAAAAAGGTTTCAATTCTGTTTCGATAGCATGTCCATTTATGTCATAGACTTCTGATTGAACTAGCTTGTACTCCATAGTGGAATCTTCATCTTTGTCCACAACATCCAGTTTGAGTACTGTTGTACCCGGGTTTGTTTCTTGAAAAAAGCTTTTACAACAAAGGTATCCTACTATCACAACCTGCTCTGAGTTTGATAACTCTTTCAGATTCTCCCAAAAACTGTACAACATTTGAACCGATTCCAGCTATATTCACACTAACAGGTACAACATCGATGGAGAACGGAGATGAAGTGGATTGCCCAATAACCTATACAAAAACAAAAGCGATAATGAAATAACCGTTAACAGCCAGCACAACTTACAAGAAGCTGGAACATCTTGGTGTCTTTTGGGAACTCTCCGGCAAAGATAATACGTCCATCGTGAACTAAGAAAGATGTACTATCTCCCTCTGATATTCTGAAAAGAAAAATATAATTTCCTGAATAACCGATTAATGTTAAATCAAAAATGAACTAGCAATGAAGGGACAATGAATTAAGAATGAATTGCAGCGTCATTTCCACGTGCCACGTCCATCACGGAAAAACGTATGCTAATTACCTGTAGTCAATGTTTTGTGACGTGGCAATTGCAATACTGCCAACTTCGCGTTCCCCGGCCTGAACATTGAAAGAAAAGGAGTTCTGGAAAATAAGAAAGTTCTGATATCGAGAGCATTTCCAAACTTGAGAAAATTTGAATGATTGAGCTTCAGTTTTAGGTACAACTTGAATTTGAACAGTTGTTTTCGTTTTTTTATCTCCACTCTTCGCTACAGCTGTAAGGTTGACGACTTTACCGACGGTTTCACTATTGAGAAACTCCGGATGCTTAATTTAAAAATATTAAGGACAAGTCAATCATGAGATACTTGGATAGATAAGACTCCCGTTGTCGGATGAACAGCGAACAATCCGGAAACGTCATCCAATGAAAATACAACTTCATCATCACCTAAGGTCAAAGGTCTATTCTCCGAGCTAATCGATAATAGCTCACTGTTAGTCCGTAACTTAATGATCTTTCGAAATACTGATGATTCTTCCTCTACTTCTGTTTCGTACTTATCTTCTAAGAATGCAAACTTATTCCGTCTCTTCAAATTAAAGATAAGTTCTATTCATTTACTGAACTTTACCGTGTTTGTAAAACTGATGATAGTTCTAGTGGGGTTTCTTCCATATGTAGCAATCAAAACAAGGGCAAATTCATCTGGTAGGTGACACTTCTCACATGGAATTGTTTTCAGAACTATCCTATCCTTTTCATTTCTAAGCTTGAAATGAGATGATAAGTCGCCTACAAGCTCGGACCTATACATCGAATCGCCATTCGATGTGATCTGTATGAAAGAACTTTCTACTAGTGGCTGAGGTGTTCACTCACCTCTATCGGAAAATCTTCCTCTTCGGCCAAATCGGTTTTAATATTTATTTCGTATATTGTTTTCGTGAAATTCACGGTGTCGTTAATGTTCGAACTAGCAAAAACCATTTCATCGTCTACGAAGTCAAACACCAAGGGGACTTCCTGGGTGTTCCCTGATATAAGACCTAAGGCTTGTAACTGAAACTATCCTTGTTATAGTGTTGACACATGTGGTATACTTTGTAATCTTTCTTTCGTCGAATGGTCTCCAAATCTTTCACAAAGACTTGGAAAATAGCTCCAGGTTGTACGATCGATGGCGCTATGACTATGGAATCGGAAGCTGGCGAGACGATGATCGCGACATCCTCATCGTTCTGCAGAAAGAATTCTAATGTCTCATTGCTTAATTTGATTAGTCAATAGATATTTCGGAAAGGAAAAGTAATCCTTCAGCTTAAAATTAATTTTCATCTTCTTAAATTAGGATAAGTTGGTTTACAGGTTGCGAACAAGTGCGTCAGGTTTCCAGCCCAATTAAGGATAATCATTAGTTGGTTAGATGCGGGAAAGGTGCTTCTCGAATAAGAAAACAAACAGGAAATCCTTATTTGTCAGACAATTGATCGAGAAAACGAAATGAAGACATGTAAGTAAAGCCTTGGCCTTTGGGTCGAAACAGCTTGTCCAATTATAAACTTTAATTGACCTTGAGTTTGTTAAAATCAGTGAAGAGATGAAACATCTCCAAAAAGGGCAATTGGGTTACGAACATGATTATGATTTGTAAAATTGGAATAAGAAGTAACTCACTTCAGGCTTTGCTCGGAATATCTCATCACCTATGACGTCATCGTCTGTTTCATAGTTGGAGGGAATTATTAAAGGAGATGATGGATATTCAATAAAATCAACTAAAAATACGAATTAGATTTAAACGTTCGAATGAAGTTACCATATGCGTACGCGGTGTGAGTTATGAATATCCAGAGAAGGAAGGATGGAGGCATCATGTGCCTGCACTTCTTAACTCAAACGAATCAGTAGCTGATGAAGTTTTGATGAGAAAATTGGTCTATTTGGAAAGTCGATTATAAGAATAACACAGTAAGTTCGTATGTCTGGAGGCCTATGATGTCTGCTCCTTTACTTTGCTGTGAGTGTCTGTCCGTTCACTCTCTTTATAATTCTCTCTGAAAAATCTTTGTCTATCTCTGCTTCCTCCTCCTTCTTTTCCAATTTCTAATATCGAGTTTGTCGTTTTCTCTGTTTTCAGTTCGAAATACGGCGGGGGCAATGAAGAAAAAGGAAGAGTCTGTTCCACGGGCTACAACTATTTGGGTCAAGCGACGATAAAACAAAAGAAGAAAATCATAGAGAACGAAGTAAATGATCAAAGCAGAGAACAACAACCATGCTTAACGAAGTTGTTTCTTCAACTTTCTCAACTTATAAGCTTTTCCCGAAGTTTTAGTTGATCTCCCTTCTTCATTCCCTACTTCAAGCTATGTTCATCGAGATTTTATCATTCAGAGAACAAATAGATCAAGGTTTTTCATTACAGATTCAAATATTATTAGAAGTTTTATTCTGATGGATCTATTTTCAAAAAAACATTTTATTCTTCAATAAGCTCTGAATTATAACTGTAATGTACATAAGTGAAATGGAAATGCTCATCCTCCTAACTGCGTCGCATCATTTCGAACTGAAAAAGAGAACATCTTTGCGGTTTTGAACTTCTATTTACCTGTTGGGAGATACTTCGAGGCATTTCCGAACTAGCAACTGTGTTCAATGGATAGCGACAGCCTGTTGTTGAGTCATCTACTGCTTCTGATTCTTCCTCAATTCTAGAATGTTCATATTCATGTTGTCTCTTCTGTAGTTACTACCGATGTAACAGGTACTTGGAATGGGTGTCTGAATCATTACAGGCTGTTCCATCTAACACAACGGATCCTATACAAGAAAATGTGAGATGTCTTTCAAAAAGGGATTTAAAAACCATTTGTTGATGATATGACATCGCTGTTTATGTAGAAACTATCACTTGCGGAGCCCGTTGTATCGATAGGTGATGTCCCTAATGAAGAATTAGGGCTGAAATCATTTAGGTTAGTTATAAAGATCATATCTCTTTCATGATTTACCTTCCAATACTACTAGCATCATCTGTTTTTCGTTGAGGTAGTAAAGTTGTCGGTCTGGGAATTTCGGGAGCGGAATATGTTGGAACGGGAAGCTGAAATGAAACTCATGAACAGCTTCTTAGCGTGTCAACTGTAAGCAGAGTATCGGGACAAAACTTCAACAAACATTTGGCAACAATGAAAAGCTGATCAAATGTCAAATTTACGAAAACAACTCGAAGTACAAGGGGAAGGAAAACACAGAAGTGTTCTTAACTATTTTAAAGGGAAACAATTTTGACGTCACGAAGCAACGTGACATTTGATTAAGTCTTACCGGGCATGAAAAGCCGCTTGATGATGACTGAAACTTCATTTATCTTATATATTATTTACTTCTAATTTCTTTATTGTTTCAAGAATAGACTGATTTCATGTTATATGGGGAGGTACCTGGAATTCGGGAGGGTGATGAGGCATGACTAGGTTATAAGAAGACGGAGAGAAGTAATAACGAGATGATTTTTGATCTGATGCGGATATGGATGTCTGAAAATTGTTCCTTGTACTTTCAGAAATCAGAATTATAAACGCACTCTATCAATTGAAACTAAGTCATCTATTCTTTCGCAACTGGGCGAGACTTCCTCATCGCACTCTGGGATTGTGGCACAACTCTTAGTTGTCCCTCCTTCAATGGAAGTTACTCGACTATCTGGTGTACCCAATAACGGAACTAAAGGTGCTCGATCTATAAGAAAGTACAAAGTAAAATATTCTGAGAACTTCCTCACATCTACTCGTGTTGAGTGGGACGATCAGAGTTCGTCCTTGCTGATGACGCCTAGGAGGCGGCGGAGATTCAGAATCTTGGCGAACAGATGAAAAACGGAAAGCTTCGTGGTTCTACAAAGTTGAACTTCAGCTAAATTGGATTTTGTGCCTCAAAAACTCACTTGGTTCTGATTTTCGGATGTTTTCTCTGTTGAGATGGTGGAAGCGCCAGGAGTGAGGATCAATGGAGTCAGTGTATCAAATTCATCAAGACGAGCCAACATTAACGCAAACAAACCCTTCTGAAACATTTTAGTTTCAAAAAAGAACTGCAATCCACTGTTTACTTACTTTACATAATAATTCTCTACGTGTATATGGGCTACCAGGAGATTTGGTTTTTCGATATGGGCAACAGAACATTCTGAGGAAACAGCAGATCTTAAAAGATAATGTAATTAAACATAATTTGAAAAAACAATACGAGAAGCTTTTCATATTTCATCGTAACAGCTAATGCTTTTTGATTGAAGCAAAACTAGCGAATGAAAAATAAAAAGCTCAACGTAACAAAAGCAAAATGACCATAGTGGGGCGATGATGAGGCCTAATGTTTCTTCTGTTGCGGCAAAAGCATCTGGCGGAGCCGAGAGGATCCGATTAAAATTACAAGGAAATAAGGAGGGAAACTCCTAGTAGGGATGAAGTATTCTTCGGTTAAGAAGTGCGAAAAAAAGAAGGAGAAAAGAAGAATATCTTGCAAAAGACTAAAGAAAAGAAGAGTGAGTTATGTGGCGGAGGCAAAGCATCGTCGTGAACCAGCTGGCTTTCAGCAGTCCCCAGAGAAAAATTGTTTGTCAGAATGTGAGGAACAATGAGCCAAAAAAAAAGAGGGAAAAAATGGCGATTTATAAAAACCTGATGGAAGAACATTGGCTTTTCCCATTTGTTCTTTTGTAAAAACTACATTGAAAGAGACATAGATGGCATTTCTGAGGAGAAGCTGATGGGTCGTAGTAGTAGTAGTATGGTTGTGAATTCCATAGTAAGTAAGAAGAGAGGACGGGAGGGGGGAAGACGAAGTGTTGCAACATGAATTAAAATAAAAAAACAAATGAAGAAATTGAGAGAAGATGGCAAAAAGACGTGAGTAATATCTTCCATTCATCGCATATGTATGAAAATTGGCAATGAAACACAAAATTTGAAGCTTTATATCTCAATTGGATTAGGATTGTAAAAGATGATTGAAGATGGAACAAGAAGAAGAGGATTGAATGATTAAATATGAAAAAATGACTTACGATTAAGATAGCTAATGATATAATGAGTAGAATGGAGAGGATTGCTGTATCAGGAACGATGCCAATCTTCTGAGTTTCATTTGAAACATACTTGAAGCCACGAACAATCCAGCTATCGTTGTTTATGCTCATATTTTATGTTTAAAAGTATGTTGAGAGAGAGAGAGAGTGAGAGAGAGATGAGAAACTATTTGTTTTTAACCTATAATTACAAATTGATTGTTTAATTAAATGAATACTCACCCATTGTAATGTCTTCTAATTTATTGATTGACGGCTATTTTGAACTGAAAATATTAAAATTCATTCAACACAATGGTATAAGCAACTCGTATGCACAACCGCTTTTGCTCTGAAATAATTTGAAAATGAAATATTATGAGAAAGAGAGAAATGAGGAACGGGAGTAATTAGAATATTATACGTTACGAGCTGTTTTCCCGTCATATTGGAATATGCAAGACTGAGAGTAGTGAGATTGAACTTTACTGTTTAGATCATATGTTCGATAACTATATGTTATAAGCTTAAAGGATGAGCAATTTAAATCATGAATTGAACATTTCTATAGAAAGATGGAAAGAGAAAGTGTTTGAAAGAGAGAGAGAAAGACCTCATAGATGTCAGATTGACATATCACAAGAGACAAATGAGTCGTGAGCTGTTCGTGGGCGCTTCAGATGCCTGGTAGGTCTCCGGATGATACTTGTCCTTCAAGTTGAAAAGTGAAAAGAAATCAAACATTTCAGATGAATGAAGAGTTGAACTAGTAATTCAAAGATAATAACATGCTCTCTGTCCAATAAAAGCCAAGTTTAAGTTGAACAGAAATTCCGATGCCATCTTACAATTGGATAATATGTGGTTACTATAATAGAATTTATGAATTAACGTGCGTGAGAACAGAGATTCGAGCTCATTTGACCCTAGTTAATATGAATTCATGTAAGGGCTTAACCTGATTGCCTATTGAACGGTCATTTGTGAGAGATAGAAGAAGCAAATGAGCCATAGATGGCCTATGCTAAGATGAAAACACAGAAATATCTGTTATAATGATTCGTTGGCATGTATCCAAAATGTTTTTTTTTCTTCTTCTTAATGAGTGATGAACATGATAGATTCCAATAACATTCTTCTCAACAGGAAACTTTTCTTCGTTTGGTCGGAAGATTTTCCTTTTCTCAGAAGTTTTTGACCAAAAAAATTAAGAAAAGAAACGAAATTGAATTTGAAGAGGAATTTGTTTTTCTAATGTTGTTAAGTAATGAATGATTGTTCGAAATTCACTTAGTATTTTACTGAAATGAGACAGAAAGGGTAGAATAACGTATGGTTGAGTGCGAGTAGAGAGGAAGAGATAATGAGATAGTGAGAGAGAGAGAGAGAAAGAGAAATGGAAGAAATTAAGAAAGGTCGTTGGTAAAAGTAATGGTAAAAGCTTTGAAAGTATTAAATTTAAGATATAACATCTCATCTTTCAATAGTTCAATGAATGAAAAGAATTTTTTCTTTTTCCTATCATCTCTTCTTCATTTTACTATTTTTCGTCATTTTCTTCAAAATTGAATATGAAGGAGAAGTCTAGGCTGTTCCGGTGATTCATATGACACGTAGAGCATGAATAAAAGCCAAATTCACTGGGCATCGGCTTCTTTAGGAGAAGCGCTGGTCATCTAAAAGTACCCGAGGGGACAATCGGATTCCGCCTCTACATCGTCGTCGAAGCTTCTTCCTCTCCTTTTCCGCATTTGAATCTTTGACAGAATGAGCCCAGACTCCCAATGGCCATGAATGCGAACAACGAATTGGATAGAAGAGAGAAGTATGAGAGCAACCGTTCGTTTAAGACTTTTCATAACAATGAAATTACGTGAAATTTTGACGTGATATGTTTACGTGGAATGTTCACGTGACAATTAGCATGACAGTTCACGTAAAAGTTCACGTAAAGATCAATGCATTGAATAATGATTCATGATTGACTAAGCGGATATGGTTTGAGCTTCATCCTCAGGATACACAGAAATCGATTGAGTTATTCACATATTTTAAAATTTCATTTAAAATCTCGTGATTATCTGTCATTCTTTACGTCATCTTTCTGTCGATGTTTTCTCGATCAATTCAAGAGAAAAATAGAGGTCAGGGCGGGTCAATTGATTTGACATATTTGCTCGTTTTTCATTATTGCTCCTGACCGGACAGGCAGTCTGGTTGACAATATTCATGCTGAAAATACTTTTATTCTTTATACTTCCTGTGGCATTAGTAAGTTTATTTCCATTTATGATACTACTCCAACGATGAAGAATGAAACAAACAAAGTATGCGAGTACTTTCCTTCATTCTGTTTCATTTCCTTGTTTGAAAGCATGTGTTTGACATGTTTACTCCTAGTAAACAAACCATTTGCTTGTCTGCTCTCATCTCTTATTAACAAAAATGAAAACTTTAAGATGTTTATTCATGTTTTTCAAAGAACTCAAGCTGTTTGTTGGCTTTTTTCTTCAAAAATTACAAAAAGGAAACAATCGAAACTGTTTTCTTCCTTCTTCAAACGTATTTTTAGAATGAAAAGTTTATTTTAGGCCACGGACTCGACGGATGTTCTGCTTGATTACATTACCAAGGTTCGTCGAGGTGCTGCTTTTGATTGGCTGGCCGAGCTATGTGATGATTTCGGACACAGAAAAACAGGATCAGTCGCTCTAGAGAAGTAAAGTTGGTAACATCGAAAACTATCTCATCTGACAACATTTAAGCGCCATCGACCATGTTGTTGAGGGTTTGCGTAAAGACGGACTGGCTGTTCATACTGAGCCAGTACCAGGCCTACCTAATTGGATACGCGGAAATGATAATGCATTCGTCGTCGAACCAAGACTTCATCGTTTATCTATTCTGGCACTAGACGGTAGCCCTCCTGGTCAAGTGCAAGCGGAAGTCGTTGTTTTGCATTTATTGAGCGAATTGGAAGTATGAATTTTATCACATATCCCCCAACAGAAAGCTATTTAATTTGAGACTGTCAACGTTAAAGATAAGATTGTGTTGTTCGCGGAGAAATGGCTAGGCTACAAGGACACTGTGGCATTCAGATCTTCAGCTAAGAAAGTAGCTGCTAAAGGAGCGCTTGCTGTTTTAATCAAATCTGTGACTCCTTTCTCTATTGGTAGTCCCCACACAGGGTTTGGAGCTCGAGGTTTCACAAAATTATTTATCTCAATGTAATACTTCTTAAAAGGATCCACAATACCTGCAGCTTGTGTAACTCTCGAGGAAGCTGACATGATTGAAAGATGGGTGAATCGTGGAAAAACTGTGAAAGTCAAAATGGATATTGTCTCAATGGAAGTCAATGAACCCATTATTAGTAGGAACGTTGTTTTCGATATAAAAGGTTCATCCAGTATGTTAATCTTATCCAATTTATTCGTTTTAGGATCTCAATTCCCCAATGAGATAGTACTACTCTCAGGACACATTGATTCTTGGGATGTCGGGCAGGGAGCTATGGATGATGGAGGAGGTGAGTACACTGATGACTAAAACCCTTCACTCAATTTTTCTTGAAGGAATCGCCTCTGTACATGAAGCCATCCTAGCCATTCATCAATTATCTATAAGACATCCAGAGTTCAGACCTAAAAGGTTTCTACTTCTCATGAGCACAGCAATTCACAATTTTCGTTTCAGAACTATCCGCGGGGTGTTCTGGACTGCAGAAGAACAGGGAATGCTTGGATCGAGACATTACTTCAATGAACATTATAACAAGTAAGATAGTTATATAAGATACAATATGAAACTGCAACAAACTTCAGAACTGACGAGACATTCATTTTCGTTTCTGAAACTGATCAAGGAGCTTTCCGACCATTTAACCTACATTCACGAATCGCAGTTCAGTCCGGCGCTAAGGAATTCGAAAAAATTTCAGAAATTGTTAAGAAATTGAATATTTATGGTTTCCCATTGACTACCACATCCGATGATGAACAAGTAACTTCAAACGTTCTTCTAACAACTTACTCTTTTCTCTTCGTTCTAGGGAGATGTTCAGCCTTTTGCTGATGCGGGTGTTCCATCAGCTCAGTACAGATCTGATAGAGGTGAATAGGAGACAAAATAAATCCCTTATAATGCATTTTCAGCCGACGAGTATTACTTTAACTTCCATCATACTCAAGGAGATTATATGACTATATTCAAGGATGGTGACCTGGAAGCTACATCTGCCATCTTCGCTGCTTTAGCTCACAATATAGCCAATATGGACAGTTGGAATTAATTTAATAATTAGCTTAATAAGATTGATGATTCTCATTCTATTCTCATCTTAATGTAATTATTTGCTTTTTGTTTGTTTTTCTGTTTTCGTCAATTGTTCGAACAATAAGTAAACGTTGAGTAAGCAAACTAGTTGAGACTTTCAAACACATCGCGGAACACTTCATACCTGCTTACACCCATACGAAATACGAAAACGAATGTCTGGTCGTATATATATTTTAAAAACTATTGCATAACTTCAGGTGGTCCGATGGTGTTGGGTTAACAAGAGAACCCCAGTTCCGCTCGCGCGACTCCTTTTTTGATTTTCGTTGGCCAAATTAATTCAAAAAATTCTTTATTAATTCTACTTACAATTCTATATTTTTCTCAGGCTCATAATAATATGCGTCATTATCAGTTATAGGGTCGTGATTTCTCGGGTGCTCCAGTTGAGGGTTCAAAGTATAAACTTTCATAACCTTCCTGTTGTTCTCCTCCAGCCCTTAGCACACCTTCTTCATCTGTTTCAAGTGCCAACCTGACATATTGAATGTGATATTTTCAAAGAAAGAATATTCACCCATGGTTTTCCGCATATTGAATGGGTTCGTGAGCTGGAGGAGCATCTCTTCTTTGTATCCGAAGATTTTCTGACATAGCAGATACATAACTGAGGCTTAAGAGAAGTAGAAGAGTGCTTTTAACAAAAACAATTTTACCTTAGGATTAGTACTATAAGTGAATATGTTCTATGATGCATATTCGCCTTATGAATTGTGAAAATATGATAATCTGAAAGATTATTTTGAACGAAAATGCACTTGCGGAAAAAAATGATGATAAAGGGATGGGAGATCTGTTGAATGAGAAGATTGAAATGAAAATAAAAGTAATAAAGAAGATAATAAAAAGAGAATCATTGGCTGATCATTCCAACAAAGCCAGATTCGGTTTCACTTTGGCACTACTAATATCCTGCCCATCATCAATGGGCGGGTTAATTGCTACATCTGAGATGGGAAATGGGATGAAAAAACATTATGAGAAGTTCTTTCGTTCCTTCTTATTCAAGATGTTTAAGGGAGTTTAAGTAATGACAGAAAAACTCGTTGCCATTCAAGAGTCTCTAACACCTTATCATCCACATTCCATTCAAATGGGCTTTTTGAACCAGAAATGGAAGCCCTTCAAACTGTCATTTCGTATGCTTCCTATTAACTCACATAGATGATTCATATAATTTATTCATAATTGAAAAAAATAGTGATTTTCTAATGAAGATTATACTTTTTTCGAAGCTTTACTAGTCTTTGAGGCAGTCATGGAGCTGAAACATGCATTATGAGAATTTGAATGTAAGCTAGGTCTTACTCTATAACGGCATCCAAATCATCTGACTGTTGATCTGACAAGTTCAAAACTTCACCATTTCGGATGATGATCAATTTGGTCTCCTGTGCATGAAAAGTTAAAACTGTTCTATATTACTATGATCTACCCTCAGAAGACTGATAAGCTCCTGACGACGGCTTTTCTTGGTAACACGTTTAGTCTTCTTTGTTTTTTTTACAAGTTCTTCTTTCGTCTTTTTTACAGGTTCTTCCTTGGCTTTTGTTGTAGGAGAGTCAGCAACAATTGATGATTCGCTTTCATTATCACTTGTTCTATGAAAAATGATTTTGAGGATGTGCGTCAGCATACTTACTTCGATTTCGGTTTTGCAGCGATTTTTTTTGGCTTTCTCTGGGCCTTCGTTGACTTCTTGGCGACAGGTTTACGGAGAAGTTCTGAGGATAACAATTAGGAATCGGGAGAATGTCATTTGGATCGTACTCTTATGTGCCTGGCTGTTGGCTTCCTTGTGTTCTTCAATCAACTCATGAATTAGCACAGCTAAAGACTTGTCAGCATCTGTTGATTCGCTAGAAAAACGGTCAATGAGTATTGATGCAAAGGTTCTACTTACATCTTTGATGATCTTCTCAGCTTGGTTTTTCTGGCCGCTGAAATGAACATACGTATTATGGAATAAGTTATAAGCAAATGGTTTACCTTTCGTGATTTTCGGCTTCGTCGTGTGTTGATGTTCGGCATCTTTGTGTGTTTTAACTGCAGGAGCTACAAGCTTAATCGGTTCATCAACTGCTGGAATAACTTTCTCTGTAGCTGCTGGAGCTGATGGTGTAGTTGTTTCAGCTGAAAAATGAATTTGATAAAATTTTATTCTACAAATGGTTAACCAATTCGTGGAGTAGTTGATTCTGTGACAGCGGGAGTTGTTGGTGCTTCCTTCACTACTGGTGTATCGTTCACAACGACTGTGTCTTTCACAATTGGTGCTTCCTCAACTTTTGGTACTGAAGAGGAGCATTGAGCATGTTAGCATTTATAGTTTGCTACCTTGAGATTCAACTTTCTCTACTTTTTCTACTTTTTCAACATTTTCTACTTTGGGAAGCTCTGGAGCTGGTTGAGAGTCTACCTTGAGTTCGAGATCTTTCTGAAAATTGATTATACATTAGAAATTGATGAAGAAAGAAGAAACTCACACTCGCAGTGATACTCTCAGGAGCTGCTGTGGGAGTACTATAAGAGAACAATTTGTACGAAACAAAAATGTGAAACTCACTCGTTTTGAGCTGAAACTACTAGGAAGAAAGGAAGAAGGAGCACGGCTGTCTTCAACCACATTTCAGATGCGACGAACGTTACAATCTTGACAAAACAATGAAAGGATCCATGTTTTTATGAATATCATGAGCAATTTGGGTCAAGAGAACTAGTATTAAAACGGAAACGTAAAATGCTTTCGTCTTATCCAAACTAGGTTTGTTATCATAAAATCTGGTAGTAAGTCAATAAAACTGTAGCTCGAGATCCGTCTTTGAAGATGGAAATTCCATTCTGTGAAAGAATCAATCATCTTATGATTTGTGTTGTTTTCTGTAAAGTTTAAGTCATTTTCTGATAACCTCCCTACATCTGAAGCATGTCCTGTGTGTGTGAGATGTGGTGTGGTGTGGTGTGTGTGTATTTGATTGTTGTTCATTTCTGTTGTCGTTATGAAAGTTTTGTTTACGCATAGCTTTCCACGTGTAAATAGTTCAAACGTGGAAAATATGCTGCGTGAGTCTTTATGATCTGCCACGTAGGTTTCAAATAAATATTTTCACGTGGAAAAAGCATTCACGTGGAAATGTCATTTATGAAATTTGTGGTCGACTGAACGGTTGGTGATCTATTTCAACAACACATCTCTCGTTGTTGTAGACATCGTATCGTTTGCTTTGTTTCAAGATGGATAGAGAAGAGTAAATGTTATATTTTTATTACTTTTAGATGATATTCTTTTTTATAATAAATACATATATGGATATAATACATAACATCTTCTATTATTATGCAAGTTAGTATTAAATAATGTGAGAGATAAAGGGAGAGGAGGAGAAATAGAGAAATAGAGAAAGATAGAAGATTAAAAACTGAAAAAAAGGATTTCAAAATATCCCGATTAGATTTGACCCTGCGTGTTTGTGTGTTTGTATTTGTGAAGTTGAAGAGTTAATGAGTTCGTTTAGATTGGAAAGATATTCAAATGTGAACAGATCGTTTTCATCCAAATAAGTCTAATATTAAGATAATCCAAGAAAACCGGACGGAAGTTTGATGAGAAAACACTGATGAAAGACAAAAAAAACAATGAATTGACTAGTTCTAATGGGATTACACTGAAATATCAGAGAAAGTTCGATCTCGAACATCATGAGTCATATCAGTAGGTGCTTCATCTAGCCTGGGGCCAACGAGACGACGTAACCTTGCGATCTCTTCGTTGGCTCTTTCTAACTCTTCCGCCAAGCAAGATTGTCTAGAAAATAGTATTGGATAAAGGCTTCTATTACATGTTGATATTACCTATTCTTGAGCTTCTTGATGTCTGTCTTACAGGAAATATTCTGACGGAGTAAGTCGTTCCTTTCTAAGTGTTCTCTATCTTCATCACAATTTTCTATTTTCCTATGCTCATTTCCACTATCGTCGGTACAGAAGGTGCATGACAATCGAGTTGTTCTGTTTGATAAATCAGCTGATGACATAGATTCCTATAAGATAAGAGTATTAAGAGGGCTCGACCGGTAACATACCATTCCGGTATCAGAGTCATGCTCATGTTCAGGTGACTCTGTGGAAGAGATTTCCCAATCTGCTCTGTTGTCATTTTCTTTCAAATGTCTGATAACTCTTCTTTGAACTCCACGAACAGGGGAAGAATTTGTTGGTAAATCTTCTTGGCGTGTCTCATTCTCGTCAAGAATTGGGCTGTTATGTCGTAGAGATCCACTTGAAGAACTACATTTAGAATCCTTTTCAGAAGTTGTGAATCGTTTGGAAACCTCAAAACATATGAATTAATAATAAGAAGTTATTTTTAACTGCAAATACCTGGAAGCTGCGAGCAGGAACACACATTGAGACTGCTCGAGAAGGTGTTGCTGTATGAACTTCTTGAGATACTGATCGCGAACGACCAATGAATGCCTTTTTGACAGAACTCAAAAGCCCTCCGGAGGAGGCTACCGAAGCGTTCGAATCAGCTGTTTGTAAGAGAGGCATTCCATAGAACTCAGCTCTCTCCTTCAAGCTTCCGAACAATGTGTCCAGAAGGCTTGAACGAGTTCGTTCGGCGAGCTTTGCGAACTTTGCACTTTTATAAGCCGCGTTTTCCGCATTGATGAGCTTTGTTAATAAGAAGTTACGGAAATCTTGTCCTCGCTTGAAAATGGAAGGAGCAGGCAGAGTTGGTCCGAAGAAAGGAACATCGTCTCTAGCAGCAACAGAAACCTTTAATAATAAATTGAAACACGCCAAGTGTTTGAGAACTTACTCGGTATCTGACACGATCAGTTAAAGGATCAATTGGTTGGATAACGATGTATGCGTGGAGGAAGTTACTGGCAATCATATCAGGAGCAAATGGTGTGTTAGCCTCCTACAACAATTTGACAATGATCAATATTCTGTTAAAGGTTGTTCACCTGGAAGACGATAGCAACGATATCATTTCCGATATGTCTCTTCCGCTGTAGTTGTTGATTATCTCCCAAGGTGTATGGAAGGAGTGTGGACACATGGAAGATACATTCCCTGCCTCGGAACTCGCTGTATACAGCTTGTTGACCTGTTTGACCATGAATGGTATCTAAGCCACCACGGTATCCCTAAGTGATGATAATCAATATGATAAACAAGGATGTGAAGCTTACTGTGAATCCTTGTAAATCAATAGTATCACCAAGGATATCTAAGAACTCGTTGAATGCTGGACTTCCTTGAGCGTTTCCGAAAAGTTCTTCCTCGGTAGTCTGACCACCTTTCTGATAAACAACTCCGAACTTGTAAGTGTTTGTTAAAACATGTTCATCATATCTTAAGTGGATGTGAATGAGTGGAAACAGTCAGATGAATGACATACTGAACAATGAGCTCTGATCCTCCGGGAAAAGCTACGGGGGTGAAGTTATCTGTACTTACTTCATCCAATAGAATTTTAGCCATTCTTGAAGCAGAAGGTCGGTCAGCAACAACTAAACAAACAAAGGAACATTAAAAATTCAGTTGTTTCCTTTATTTCTACCCGAAGCTGAGATGATCTCATGTATTGTTCCTTGTTTGGTACGAAGCATAATGCGAAAATGATCCTGCGAGGATATAACTTCTGTTCGAACAGAAAGAACCAAAGGTCCGAGATTAGGATCCATAGCAAAGAAATCATGATGTTCCCTTCCATAGAAATGGCGACGATAACAATGACTTGTTTCATCTGTTTCCATTTTGAATCGAGCACAGCTATTCATACATAGGCCCATAACCTTTAATCATTTTTTCTTTCAAAAGAGTATTTATAAATAAACAAACCTCTTCATCTATGGATATATTACTGGCGCTCACACCATCCATCCAAAATCCATTGGATGGTAAGACAACTTGGGGATATGGACCAGATCTTGAGAGAATCTGAAAAGAAAAGAGGAAAATATCTTAAACTATTTGTTTTTTAATAAAACTTCATATTTTACGATAGAAAAAACTATTTGATGAGACACAACTGACCTCTTTCATCATTTCCCTTGTGGTCACGTTAGTCTTCTTGTCGTCACCGAATTCATTCTGAAAAGAGTTCATGAGAAATGAAAGCAGACTAGTACTGATATGATTTCTATTTGTGTGTGATGAGTGGTTTTTACTGTTAAGATGAATATGTAAGATGAACCTTTGTCTCATTCAATGATACTACAGAACAAGTGGATGATATGAGGATGGGAGAGCTGACCAAGCCAGACAGACTACGTTCGGACGTCTTACGAGAGCGGAAGACTGATGAAAGTAAGCTGAGCTTTCTGGTTGGAGCCGATAGTTTTCTTGCTGGTAGACTTTCTGTTGAAGCTTTCATTTGTCGTCGTTCAGCTTGACGCAAGTTATCCATGGCTTTGAGCAGTTTGTCAGCGGCCATGAGTTTGAACTCATCTTCTGGAGCTAGTGATGGGCGTGAATCCGATAGGTACTTGTCAGAGTTCAAGGCCGCTGACGTTAAGCAATCAACACTAACAGCTCTAGTTGGATGATGCTCGCTATCAGGCTCACGAATAGGTGTTAATGTTGGTAGAAGACGTGAGCGGCGTCGTATTCGTCTTGCGACTGCTCCAGATGGTAAGCCAGAAACAACTCCACCGACTCCATAAGTCCAATCGACATCTTCCTCTTCGGAACTGTCGATGAAACGCATTTTAAAAAGAAAACAGTCTGAACAAGAATAGTGTTGTGTGAAAGTAAAAAAATGGAGAATGAGAAGAAGATATGAAAGGTAATAAAAATAAACAAAATCATATTGAAGAAGAGGAAGAGGAGGAGACTAAAGCCCAACATGGGTGAGAAATGACGAAGCTCAGAAAAAAGTGCAACCGCTCTTCACGCGTTAAACTGAGAAATGGGCAAGTCCACGTAAACTTTGACGTAAATTAGAATGTAATGAAGAATGAACTGATATGAATGGAATGGGGGGGGGAGAGAAACGGGACGAACTAATGAAACTTTGATTTGTTTAATCAACGTAGAAGTTTATTTTGTGTAAAAAAAAAGAAATTAAGCTGAGCAATTGAATGAGAGGAAACGTCACAACAGCAGGGAATACTTCCTTCTATGGTTATGCCGCTGAAGACTGAGGGCTTTTCTCGTGGAATTCCTCTGTCAAGTAGTTCTTCAATTCAACTTTCAATCAAAATTCAAATATGAAATCAGTCATTTTATGTGACTAATAATATTCGAATTGAAGGACATGTAAAAAGAAAACAAAACGATGACCGCCATGTCAGAGTGTTGTCCTTAGACGACGACGAACATGTATGAATACGATTTGTAAATGGTGAACTTATGCAATGAATGATATTTTGTAATTAAAATAATCTTTTAGAAAGTCCATAAGGAACATACAGAGAGAGAGAGGGGGAGGGATGAGTTAGAGAGAGAAAGAGAGAGGTAAAGAAGACCTATTAAAAAGCATTTTTAAAGTGGAAAATGATCAGAATGGGAAAATACATATTGACAGTTGTACCGGAATAGTTGACAAGTATGAGAAGACTCTCATTTCGTCATTCATCTACCTCCCTTCTTGTACTACTCTCTTTAGAACTCTCTTCGTCCATACCCATTATGAAGGTCGAAGTAAGAAAAAGGACGACAGGTGGAATATCCATATATGGAAAAAAACGGAAACTAATAGTCAGCCGTTCATTTGGGACTTCAAAATTGGAGTCACGAATAGAAATTATCTTTGTTGGAAAAAGGATTTCAAATGTAAAAAGTCATAGAAATGGGTCTTGTGTCCATTGCATTTAGGAAAAAATGGCAAAAAACAATGAAAAACGAAAAAGACGATGGTATGTGTTGAAAGATATTTTTGGAATGAAAATTATTTTGGCTTACGGCCACACAAGAAGAGACAATTGATGATGAAATAAACATTCATAAGATGAGAAGAAGCTTTTAACAGGAAACAGGATTATTAACAGAGAATATAAGATGCAAATGAAGACCAGCCAGGTATGTTTCCATCAGTCGGCTGATTGCCATATTGACTGACCATAAAACCTTCATTCCATCTCTATTTTTCAACAAAAGAAGAAAAAAAAAGTTTTTTGTTATGAAAAGGAATATTTGACATAAAGTAACGAAAGCCAAGCAAAAGAGAGAGAGAGAGAGAGATGACATGAGAGAGGAGATGATGATGAGAGAGCCATATGGGTCGTCAGTTGTAAGACGAAGGACATCGTCTTCTGTCCTCTGTTGTCCTCCTTTCCTGCTTCTTCCCATGTAAGGAATGGTCAGATGAACAATGCAAGTATTCAGAAGCTTTTTGTTCCAAAAATGTAAAAAAAAATTTTTAAATTATATTTTAAAATGAGACAGAAGAATGTCCTGAATGCAGTAATTGATTTAATGAGTTGAGAGGGAAGAAGGGAAAGAATGGTGGGAGGGAAGGGGGGGGAGGTTGTGGATGGAAGAGAAGAGGAAAGAGGACAGCACACGAGAATAAGGCTAAGCCGTATATGATAAATGAACCATTAAAATATAGTCTTATAAGAGATATTAAAAGTAATAATTAACTAATTGAGAAAGTCAATTGGTGTTGACAAATAAGGAAATCATATAGTTTTCTCATTCAAAACAAGAAGTAAATAAAGAACAAAAGACGTTTTATAAAATCATAAATTAACAAGTTCTTTCCATTGAGAAAGACTTTGTTCCAATAGACATAGTGAGAGAGAGAGAGAAGGGAAGAGAGAGAAGGTAGGAGAGAGAGAGAGAGAGAGAGACTGAGAGCTTATACCTTAATAAGGCATTTTCAAAAAGGTTCGAAGCAACATTTTGAGAGTTGTTTTCCTTTTTTGTATTCAAAAAAGAAAGTTTAAGAACAAAAATAGAAACAACTATAGAGAGATAGAGAAGGGAAGAGGGAGAGAGAGAGAGAGAGAGATGGGTAGAGGCAGATGAGAGAAGAACAAAAATAATTTTTTGTATTTGCAAATAGAAAATATGATATTAAAACATTCCATATATAGTGAGGGAGAGGACTGAGTAAGTGAGTTGGTTGAACGGGTGATGGCGAGGCTGTTTTAAAGTGTAAAATCAACTGGTTTCCCTTTGATTTATACAAAATGTTCTCTTAAATAAGCTTATTTAAACAGGTGTCTCTTCCTTCATTTGAAATTCACAAAAATTATTTTTACGTTGTTCGATGTTGAGAGATGGGGCTTGTAGATGGTACTATATGGATGGAGGATTAAAAATGGAAGAATAAATATGAAAAAGTGGACAAGTGCCGATTGCCGTTATAGGCGCAACAGATTCATGAAGAAGAAGCTGGGACAATCTTGATGAAGCAAAGGTTCCAACTTCCCCATTGGGGATGATGGATGTTGAGCTAAATACCCCAATGGTCATAAGGAGGTTTTCTCTCTCTCTCTCTCCCTCTCTCCCTTATTATTATTTCGTCTACTTAGTTTTATAATGGCGCCGCTGAACTCAATTAGGCATCTAGACGTTCATTAGATATCTCGAGAACCATACAAGAGAACAACAAGACTTTTCCCTTTATGTTCAATTCTCTCTCTCTCCCTCTCTCTCTCTCTCGCTCTCTCTCTCTTCTAATTCCTTATTTGGCACAAAACAAATCCCATAATACCATATTTGGATGTTTTGGTTATTTGGGTATTCCACATCAAGGTGAATCGCAGTTAGGTTGGAAGCTTTTTTTGTGTTCTTCTTTCAAATCACCAAATTCTAATTTTGTTTCGAACAAAACATGATTGGCGTGCAATCAACGTGGCACTGAAGACGTGCAGAAGTACGTGGAAAGCATGACGTCGTCGTTCATTTATGAAAAAACAAAACAAAACAGATGGGTTGTGATGAACAAATTGTTCCATTTTTCTCGTCTTCCTCAACATGATTCCAAAAATTATTTTGTCAAATGAAAAGGAAAAGCATATATTGACCAGAAGCGCTTGAATTTCATTCAAAACACCAACCAACCACATCTCTCATTTGACGTTTGGAAATAGTGAGTGAAATTCAATACTGGAGAATTAACCGAAACCTGAGGTCACATTTGGTCAATTTTATTGGCAAAAAAGAAAAATGAGAATAATTCAGATTTGAATAGAGTAAGCACACATGCATCTCAACACTTGAAGCACATTTTCTACATGAGTTACGAGGAAAAGCTTAGGTTCCGTTAGCTCAATTAGGATTTGACTCATAAGGACAGTAGAGTCATATTGGCAGCTCTATGGAAACGATTAGAAATGTTCCAAAGAGAACAGAAATGCAATAGGGGGAGCAGAAAGAGAAACGACAATAGAGAGAGAGAGAGTTTTGACAGTCAAAGAGTCATATGGAGATGGCTATCATGCTTTGATGGCCAAATAAGGCACAAAGTATTAAATCGAAATGAATTGAATGAATTTCACTGAAATTATGATTTCAATTGAATTCACAAAGGGCACCAGCAGCAGTTTTTAAATAAAAAATTCAAACGAAAACTTTTCGAAATGAATTAAAGCGTATACTCGCTGTCCCCTCTTCTCTCTATCGCTCTTTCTCTTCATCTCTCTCTCTCTCTGTGCCGGCCTCCCCAGTGCTCTCCTCCATTCTCACTTTTCAAAAAGTTAAAATACAAAACTGAATAAAATCAAATAACAAATAAAAATGGGAAAAACCGTCAACAAAGCCGTCGATCTGATTCTATGAAACAAAAAAACAAAACATTGATTGATCGACTTCCTTTTTTTGTTTGCAAGGCAACATGGTGGGAGAGAGGAGAGAAGGGTGGAGGGGGGGGATTGAAAATAGAGATTTAAACGTTATAGAAGACTAAAAGTAAAGAGAGAAAAAGATGAAATGGGAAAAGAGATATAGAGAGAGCAATACCTTTATGGGGCTTGAAGAGATCATTGTCGGGAATCGGATAGAAAACCAGCCAATAATTGGGAAATTAGAGATCTTTCCAACTAAATATGAAAGTAAAACATGGATGATGGTAGCGATTTGAGCTTTACATGAGGGAAGGAGGGAGTGAGGGAGGGAGGGAGGGAAAGAGGGAAGTAGGAGAGAAGGAAGAAAGACCGAAAAGGAAAGAACAGTTCTAATTGACAACAACAATTTACCTGACAGAAGTTAATTGTTTATTTGACCATACAAACACGAACAATTACCATAATGAGAGAAGAAGAGGAAAGTAAGATGAGGAAGTAGCGACAGAGAGAGAGAGAGAGGGAGAGGATGAGAGAGAGAGGGAGGGAGGATGAGATCCACATTTCAAAGGTCAACTTGTATGTTTCAATCAAAGATTTAGGCTTAAAATGTCATCTCAAACTGACATTCATAATTAGATTTTCTTTTCGACGACGAGAAATCTGTCGTTGCAAAATAAATTTTCTTCTTAATTGTGTCCAAAAAAGGCTTTCATTCTTGAGAATAAGAGAGAATGAGAAGGAGATTGGAAGTAAAGTGTTAGATAGAGAAAGGGAAATCTTTGTGAAGTAAGTGAAGAGAAGATGGAAAGTTCTTCTTAGTTATCATCTGAGAGAACAAGTTCTGTCAGATTGAACAAGCCTTCTTCTCCTTATAGTTTCACAGAAACTATAAGATCATCTTCTTCTATATAAGGAACTGGTCAAGTTATGATTTCGTTTATTTGCTTCGAAATATTTTTTTCCAAATGAAAAAAATGTTATTTCTTCTTGAAAGTTTGTGAATGAGGAAGTGTAGGCGAAGGTTTGTAACAGAGAGAGAGAGATAGATAGAGAGAGAGCCAGCTGGTTACAACGAAACGAAGGTAAATAGAAGTAGAAACTGAATTCCAAAAAAAGAAGTTATTATCCAAATAAGGATAATTGTTCTTCTACTATTGAAATCTCAAGGTCTGTTTCATATTGAGGAGAAGTACATCGACGATTGTGAGAAGAGAGGGGGGGGGGGGGATGGTTGTGGGTGAGATTGAAGGGAAAAGAAATATGTTTTATGAAATGCTTATGACATCACATGCAAGAACTTTGGGATGAACAAATAAAATATGGATTTTGCCTTCTTTAGAACTTCTAAGCTCTTTTGACAATAAACACAACAAATTGTCCTCCCAATACTATCACTTTGCTCTCATCTCTCTTCTCACAACCGTTTTGTGATGTTCATGATGATACAGTGACGAGTGAGAGTAGTTGAAGATGAAGAGTTTTCTTCCAAAAAAAGCAAATCTCACATATCATCTGATATTTGGTCGCATAATGTCTTTGGATGAAACGAAATTCACATTCTGTCATCCATCTCACATGGGGATATTGGAGGGAGGAAAGGAATCTCGACTTGATTCAACCAAATATTGCATATATACAGTTTTTCAATAACATGAACATGTGTGTGCGTACGTGAAGTTTTGAAAAATAACAAAAAGGAGATCAAAACTGCCAAATAGGAGGCAGTGCTGAGCTTTGACAATCATCGTTTGCGTTAATTGGAAAGCGATTAAAAGCCTTTAAAGGCAATAGTCCGGTTGAGATAGATACAAAAGAGATTTACAATGCAAAAGTCTAAAAACTTATTTGAAAGTCCACTTACCTTCATCACACACAAATAAGAAGAAAAGAAAAAGGCAAAAACTCACATTTCTTCCGGGCATCTCACACCGTTGATCATCTAGTCGTTGACTCTGCATCTTCTCCAACAAGCTCAGAAAATCGTTTGACTAATAAGGAGATGTACATATAGAGGGAGAGAAAGATTGAAGATGATCATACCTTTTCGCCGTATTGAACTGCTGTAGTGAATAGACCATTCTGCCTCATCTTATCGAGATCGTTGTAGAAATGATCGCCGTTAACAGAATTTCTCCTACAAAAATTAGAATATGAAAGAATTGACGTGAAGCATGCGTGAAAATGAAAAAGTCATTTGCATTTTGAAGACGTCGCAGAGCGGTTGCTAATGATGCAGATGATGATGATGATGATGATGGAACGAGGATGTGAGAAAAGAAAAAAAATGATTTTGAATGGCGTATAGATATGATGATGTTATGTGGAACAATTGTTCCATTTGTAATAATATTTAATTACAATCTAATGCGGGGATAACCTTTTTCCTTTGAAAGTTAAGCTGAAGAGAGACAAGACTTTCGAATTCATCTTCTTAAATCTTTCTTTTGAAACATATTTCATCTTATTTGGGCTTGGCAATGAAGTGAGCAAGAGCTTCATAGCTCCAACACCGACCATTCATTTTTCTTCACAAAATCAACTGACAGCCGAAGAGGATGAAAGAAATGAGAAGAAAAAAATTTTTTTTATTGAATGTCAAGGGGTTTTAAGAGAAAAAACGATTATTTGTCTTGTGCTAAGGGCATTAAGGAAGAAGCTGATGTGCAAATGACTCACAAGGTTCATGAGTCTCATGAATAAGCAACTATCAGAACGCCCAAATTTGCAGATTAATTTTCTCTCTTCATCCGAACATGTTTGAATAAATGACCATATAAGAGGTTCGATGAATAAGAAATACATCTGATTAGCATATGTTAGCTTCCTTCCCTTCCTTTTCTCTAATTTTTTGTTTAAAACACAAGATAAATTGAATAAAACTATATGAAAAAGGTTTTGAAGAGAAAGAGAGAGAGAATGATATGGTTGTATATAGTATGAGGAGGGGGGAGAGGAATGTAAGGAAAACGAAACAAAATGGAGAGAAGGTCCAGATGTTCCCTCAGGCTCAGAAGCTTTGGAGCTTCTTAGAGTGAAGGAGTAGGAAAAAAAAGAAAAATGAAAGAGTTTCATCGGCGTTTAGCAAAGAGCAGCCAATGACCGGTGCAGTACAACCACCAGAGGCTATTGGAGAGTATAAGAGTAGTCAAAACAATAGACAGCAGAACTGTTTTGGCTGTATAGAGAGAGAATGGGAGGGAGGTGAGATTGAAGGAGGAAAAATAAGAAAAATTAAAAATAGCAGAGGAGATTGAATAAGCAGAGATCAATTAGATTATGTTGGAATTGAAATCAAACAGAACACAGATGAGGAAGAGCTAATTTAATCCTCCCTCAACTACGTTTTTCTATAAAAAGACAAAATAAATTGAAGCAAAAGTTATAAATCAATAGAGCGTTGTGTTAAGACTTGACTAAAAGCTGATAATCTTGAGTGAAAAGTAGGTGAATGGGAGAGAGAAAGTAGCAGCCGTCAAATTAATTGGTTTATACCGCCTGAGGCAAAAAGAGAGAAAGAGAAGGATTGAGAGAATGAAATGATGGCCAAAAAAGGAAATCAACTACTTCATTGCGTCCATTTGCGATTGAGAATTCAGGAAGAAGCACAAGGCAAATGTTCAAATCAGATAGTTTACATATGTAAGGCGGAGGCAACGTTTACATTAAAGATAAGAAGAGACTAAAGGAAACACAAAATTTGTAATTTTTAATTAAAATTTCTGAGAAGATTAAGAAGAAGGTCAAATAGATGGAATGGTATTGATGTTACTGTTACCTGATGAAGCGTTTGGCTGATTTTATTCGAGACAAAAGTTCCATGGGTGAGTGACGTTGTGATCGACTTTTTCGACGATCTGGATGACTTATTGACTTCTTCTTTGTGTTTTTGGGACTTGAAGAAGCTGATGACGGTTGCGAATTAACAATAGAAGTTGGAGGAAAAGCTGTCGTTGCCAATGTTCGATAGAGAAGAAATGAATCCATGTGTGATTCGTCTCTTTCTATCTCAGCTTGTCCTTCGACACTTCACCGTTCGATCGAATATTAGAAAAAAGCAATATGCCTGAGGGGAAGTTTGATGATGCTTTTGTAAGCAATCAAACTTGAATTTCAGGAATCTGAATAAACGAAGAATAATGTGTTTCTTTCTTCTAAAAGAGCATGAGAGTGAAAGTTAGTAGGCGGTACGTTTTTGTCATCTTGGAACCGCCCAGTTGATATGATGACTTTCATCTGATGCCACATTTTTCTTTTCTTTCTTTGAGAAAACAGAAGAAGGGGGAGGAAGATAAGAGAAGGTGTAAAAGCCTACTTAATGATAAACGAACAAGTTTGAGGAGTCGAGAGAGAGAGAGAGAGAGAGAATGACATTGGAGGGAGAAAGCTTGAGACAACAGAGAGATATAGTCAACAAGCGTTCGCTGTGAATCATAGCACAGGTGAGTTCAGTTTCAGATCATTAAAGAAGCTCATGATGCTCTAAGATAAACTTCTAAGCTTCAAGGAAGTTCATGAGAAGCTTAATGCCTTCCGTAATAACAACCGTTAGTCATCAGAATAGAATATTGAAGAATAAAAAATGGGGGGAAGAAACAGGTTCTGTCATCACGGTCTTCCTGCCTTGGCTGCCACACAAAGAATAAAAATAAAAAATCATTCTAATTTCATCCCTCTTAATCTTTTTTTATCACAAAATGTGGATAAAGCAGAAGCTTGCAAACGTCACTCAGAGGTTTCCTCCCTCTCCCCAACTTTGACGTTTTAAGTGAAAAAATGGCAGAAAAAGGAGAGAAAGAGAATGAGCGAGGGAGAGAGTAAGAGAGAGAGAGGGAAAGAGCTATAGAGTGAAGTGAAAAGAGCAGAAATTAGAGGATTTATTTGAGATAAATTGATAGAACAAATATTGTTTTGTCATTTGTAAAGAGCCGTTGCCTTACTTTCATTTCAATGAGAGTAATGGATGAGTCATCTGGTGTTAAAGAAGTTCTTATTGACTTTCAGTGAATCATAACGCTCATAAAAAGATAATTTGATTGGGTAATTGCCATATTTGGAAAAGAAACCTTTCCATAAAAGGGAGACTAAGAGTAGAGCAATAGATGGATGCAGAAGAGAGAGAGAGAGAGAGCCTGAGAGATACAAGACAGCAGTTGAAGGAGAATGAAAACGAAAATTTCCAACCAAATGTTTTTCATTCAATTTGCTTTAAAGTTGTCATTTTTATGAAAAACAATTTATCAAAACTCTAATGAGGATAAAATAAATTATTTTCGAAAGTACAAAGAGAGAGAGAGAAAGAAAAAAAAAGTTTTTGATGAGAAGAAGCTCTGTCTATCTGTATGGCTATGTGTATGGCTATGTATATGCGTGTGTATGATGATGTTGATGAGAGAAGTTCAGTTGAATGAAAAGAACTTCAAATGTCGGTATATCTCCGAGCTTTCTAGAGAATATCAAGTAAAATCCCTTTCTAAGCCGCTTATTAAGCATTGCCATAGCTCATTTTTAATTTTTCAACCAAAAAACTATACGAAAGCATGTATGTGTGTGTGTGTGTTTGCTATACACGCATAGTTAAGGAAATGATTGTTTCACTGCCACCACCCAAATCTTTTATTGATTTAAGCTTAAAGTTAATCAAAAGAGTCGCTATTCTTAACACAGATTCTTTTGCACAACGTTTTTTCATTACAAAAGTCAATTTCATTGAAAGAGAGAGCTCATTGGAACATCACATTGAAGGAGTTATAGGAGATGTAAGCTTGGCGCTTACTGAGATTAGCATACATGACGTGACTCACGTGAACGGAGCAAAACCAGTAATCATCATCATTTATGATTTCATAACGATGTGGAACGGTTGTATATGAACCTTCTCTCTCTCTCTCTTTCTCTTTCTATTCAAAACAGTCAATTGAACAAGAAACTTCTTGTTTCTTCCAATAAGTTGTAAGAGAAAGAACTTGTACAAGAAATTGAATAATTTGAAGTTTTAGTGAAAAAGAAATGAAAAGTGCTGAGAAGACGTAAAGACTTTCAATGACATCAGACAAGGTTTGCAACTTCTTTCTTTCTCTTTCTCTCTCTCTCTATCTCTCATTCCCTCACAACCTTAAATGGTGTTGAGAGAAGGGATGGGAGGAGAAAAAAAGAAATTACAAATCTGAATAACTGAAAAAAAAGAAAAAAAACAAATATTCAGCATAACTCACTTAAAGCTTTTAAGACGAAGAGGATAATCACATCTATAATGATATTATTTCATTTTTAAGTAAAAACATAATGATCATGTTGCCCAAATAAGGAATTTCTTATATGAAAGTGCGGTCGGAATGAAGAGAATGAACAAGATGAATGATGTTGAAGAAGCGAAAAGCTAAAAACTAACTTGTCGTCCGGAATGGGATCCAATCCAACATGTGAAGCTCCTGAACATGAACAGATTCCGTAAAACAAAGAATCTTTGAATGACCACATCCAATCCATTGTATATCCTTCAACATATCAAAATGTAAGAAAATCATTTTCAACTCAACCATATTTCATACAAAATAAGATATTTATGAGAAATATGAATGACCTATATAAGGTATTTACATAACATAAAAAATGACCGACCAACATCATAAAATGGATGAAAAAAACAAAAAATTTGAGCTTTTCCTTCTCCCTCATCATGAGGATGAGTAAAAATAAAAGAATGTTATCAGTTCAATTCTTTATTTTTATCATTTAAATCATTGCTAAGGCTTCCAACTTTAAAATTCCAAAACTTCTTTTCATTGTGAAGCACAACTGTCCCTTATCGAGATAAAGAGAGGAGAGAGGAGAGATGGACAATAAAACGATGAAAACCGTTAGTATCAACGACCCCGTCATTTGATCCGAACAGTATTGAAGTTCCTCTAACCTCTCAAACCATTCAAATCAAAGAGAGAGATAAGGTAAGAGAGAGAGGGTGGAGAAGACAAAACAATTTTTGAAAAAAGCATGAAAAAGCTTGAATGATCAGTTGAAAAACCGGAAAGATGGAGATCGATGCCATGCAATAAACCAAAATGTGGTAATGAATTGAAACTAATCAACCAGAAATCAAAGAGAGAGAGAGAGAGTTCGGATAGAGAGAAGTATGTCAAATAACTAAAAAGGATGATAAATTCAAAAAAAATGAGGAAACTAATAGTTTTTGTGAGATATGGAGGGGAGAGAGGAAGGGAGATAGAGGTGGGTTGTGGAAAGAAAAAAGTTCAACGGTGGTCATTGATCTGGTTCATTGTCCTTGTAACTGAATACTTTGATTAAATCTTGATAAGATGGTCGCATAAGGATTATGAGGTAAAAATAATATTTTCATGCTAATCATAGCAAAGAAGAAAGTGAGAGAAAGATGATAATAGTAGAAGAGAGAGAGATAGAGAAGAAGGAGTGTGGAGGAGGATTGAGGGGGAGGAGGTTAAGGAGTGTGTATGATGAATTTGATGTGAACTTTGCTGATATCAGGTGTATTTGACCTTTTATGGTCGTCAGAACAAATGAATAATTGAGAAACAAAAATGATGAAGAATAGAACATTGAGGCTTAACAGATGAATTGAAAACATAAGGAAGGAAGGAAGAAGGTTGGAAGATGATGAAGAAGGTGATGAAGATATTGAAATGAATGTCGTATGATGAAGGATGAATGGTAGTTGAAACTAGGAGAACAAGAGATAAATTTATAATAAAATAGTTAAAAGTCGATAAAATAACCATAAAAGATGAGAAGAAGAGGATTGATAAGAAAAACAGAGAAAAGTCAAGTGAATGGTTAATTAAGGAAGGAATCCTTTGCTTGTTGCTTAGAAGCAGATAATCTTTAAGTAAAACTTGTTATAATCAGATAAAAAACAAAATTTGTGAACAATAGAAGAGAGACAGAAAGAGTGAAAGGGGTGATAGAGAGAGAGAGATATATAGAGAGAGAGAGAGGGGATTGAGAGAGATAAGCAAGAGAAGAAGATGGTCCATGGTTGACGATATACATATAGAGAGAGAGAGAGAGATAGAGAGGAAGAGAGAAGATGAGAGAAATAATTAGAGAGGAGCTAATTACTTACCAAAAAAGGAGATGATGATGAACGTTTCAGTTGCAATTTGTGAACGTTGATAAGAGACAAGCAGATGAGCTTCGAGAGAATGTCAACCGAAAACTTTTAACGACCAAATGAGAGAAAATGATTAAAATTTATGATTTCTACTTCCAAAATTAACTATTTAATTATATGTGAATCGATAGCATAGATAGCATAGCATAGAATACATAGGTGAAGGCTCTGAACTCATGCAATCATGCATTTTTCATTTTAATCTGATGGCAAGGCAAGCGAGCGGTTGTGTTCGTAGACAGAAGTGAACGCGACAGACATCCAAATGTTTCTTAAAATTAAAAAAGAATAAACTATTCTTCTATTTTTAATTTGGAACTCGAAAATGACTCCTCGCTGCATAAGAATATTTGATTCTCGGATTAAGACCCGAACCCAAATAAGGGCATGAGTTGTATGAAGACGAGAAGAAAGGTTTTGCAAAAAGAAAAAAAACGAGTCAAACAAGCTGTTCTCTCCAAGATTGTTTTTGTCTCAAATACTACAAGGCAGTCAAAAAGAGAGAATCCTTTAGCATTCTCTTCAACTTTCGAGTTATTGTCCAATCAAAAAGATTTTCATTGACTACAAAAAACGTTTTCATTCTTCTTTTTCTATTTTTGGCTCTTCTTTCCTTCCATCTCCCCCCCCTACATTTCGTCTTCTTCCTTCATCACAAACTGTCCTTGTAACTCTTCTGTAGTTTGTAAGCTTTCCAGATTCAAAGTACAAAGGTAAACAAAGGTCAAGTTAGGAGGGAAAGTGTGAATTCGAGAAAATAAACAATCAGTTATGATTAACAAGTAAAATAGACATAAATGGAGAAAACTCGAATACGACTGTTAGTTGGAGAAGAAATGAAAGGCAAAGCTGATTCAAGTACGTACAGGCTTCTTCTCTTACTACTCCCCCCCCCCTCTCTCTTCCATGCGAATGAGAACGAGTACTTGACTTCTTTCTTTTCATAAGAAAATTGAAGCAAAACTTATAAAATGTCTTTTCTTTTTCGGTAACAGAAGATATTAACTTTTTAAAAAAGATTTCAAAAGATGATAAGAGGAGAGAGGTGGAGAGAGCGAGAGAGAGAGAGAAAGAGAGAGATAGATAGATAGATAGAGAGAGATCAGTTGAAAACAAGAATGACACCGTAAGCAAGAAAAACATTCTTTTGCTTAGATAATCAAAAACTATTTGATATAATTAAAATAATTATATGAAATACTCAATCAATTGCTTTGACAAAGGCATGTCCGAACGGCAACCTAACACATCAGCATAGCAATAAGGAGAAAGAAGAAGCACAACCGTTCATCATCGTCACAAACTACTAAAAAATGTTTTCACGTAAAGCACGTGACACGTCAATCAAATGAATATTCACGTGAATAATCTCACGTGATAATATGATGACGTCATGTTTAAAATTATTTTTTTGGCAAAGAAAGAGAAAACGAGAATAATCGGCAATCTAATGCGTCAACTTGTCTATTAAATCTATGATTCTAAGACATAATATTAAATAAAAAAAAAAGAAGAAGAAGAAGAAGAAGTTCCATCGTAGTGAAAGGAACATACTTCTTCTTCTTCTTGTTGCACCTTGGCCAAGTGATATTGAACAACTCGTGTACGTGTAGCGGAATAAATATGAAATAAAACATATTTGTCATACTCATCTATACCTTAGCTAGTTTTGAGTTGACCTAATTTGGAAATAAAAAATAACAGGAATGCTTAGTGATTAACTGAAATCTTTGGCAAAAGGAGGTTAGTTCAATGAAAACAGCCATGTATTGCCTGAAGGTATGGCTACGTTTGTTCAGCAAGTTGGAGAAAGGAAAGGCAATGAGCTAGTTGGTCGAGAAAATGATGGACAACTTCTCAAATCGGAGTAATCCGGTATTGACCTGTGCACGTATGAAGTCTATTAAATGAGTTTTAATTCTCTAAAAAAGGAAAAACGAACATCATCCGAGGGTTTTGAGAAGAAAAAAGTTACAAAATAAATTGTTTTTTTAAGCCAACTTTCTAGAGAAGTCTCAACCCGTTTTTCAATGCAAGATGATGGAGAGAAAGAGAATAGACAAGCAAAACCTGACTGTTAAGACGGACATTATTGAAATGAAAAGATATTTCATATGTTTATACTTAATCAATAGGGGAGAAGCTTGATCGAGAAAAAGGATGAAGCGAATTTGAAAATAATGCGAAGCACTCAGCTGCAGCAGCAGCATCAGGACAAGTAAGCATAGCCCATCTATGGTTTCATTAAGAGTTACAACAAGGAACGAACTTTGCAAAATTGTGAGACAGAGGAGGGAGCCTCAAACGTGTGGCTTTTCGTGAGCCGCTCCTAAGTGTAAATAAAATTCGGTTTTTATTTTGTCCACCTTGTGTCCTTCTCGTACCTGTTCTCTTCTGTATAGTCTCCTTCTCATTCTCTCACAACTACTCTCGATTCCCTCTTTAACCCGTCCTGTATGAAATGAATTGCAAAATGTAAAGGAAAGAACCGTCTCAAGAGGATTCATAGAAATTCAATAAGAAGTTAAAGAAGTAATAGACCAAGCTTCTAGAGAACAACGACGGTTCACACAACCGTGATGACCAGTCAGAAGGTAAGCGAATGAACAAGAATGAAAGGCTTCTTAAACGGATATCATAATCAAGAAAAGTGTATGAATGACACAAACTATTTTTGAACAAAATCTTGACCCAAGGGAAAGGAATCGTTAGGTCAAGACTGGTCTTGTACGGAAGTTTCCGTTCAAACTCCAAACTAACTATAATAACCTCCTCCTTCTTCTCACTCATTGAGGAAGATGAGGCTGTGTGAAAGGAAAATGTTAGAAATGCATATTTCGATACAAAAATCTATTCTTTTGTTCTGAAATATTCCAGATTTCGGGAATGAGAGGGAGAGTGAGTGAAGAAGAGAGAGAAGGAGAGACAGAGAAAAAGGAGTTCAAAACGTTAAACCATTTCATTGGGTTGTTTGTTTTTCTTTTTGATTGTCAGGCAATTCCAGCTAAAGAAGATATAAAGTTTAAAGAATATTATAAGCAAAAATTGTGTTGGCGACTGAAAAGAATCTGGAGAAAGGGAGACGATGACGACGATGATGAGATGGAAAAAACATTTTTCCTTCTCCCTTCCATGTGAAAACGTTTTTTTCCCATTTTTGATTGAAAATGCGATGTAGAGCGGTCGTGTCTAATGAGAAGAAGTAAATAAATTACGACCATAAAAATGAAAAAAAAGTTGAAAAAATGCTGGCAATGGAGCAGATGAGGTAGAGAGAGAGAGTGAGAGAAAGAGAGAAAGAGAGAGGGGGGGGGTTAGAGAGGAACCGGCTATCATCTGTTTC